ATAAGGCACTTTGGTTAATTGCTGTCGTTTTTAATGTGCTTTTAAAATAATCTTTACAATGGTTTTAGAGTCAAACTGAACAGTAACTTTCAAAACCTTGTTATGTTCATTGTTACTGGAAGTATCAGTTACAAACATTTTTTTATGGCACACTATGAGCCAAAACTCTACATTTTTATGAATGCAGGCCCACACCTACACCAGAAAATGCATAGTAGGTGCTTTTAAGTATATCCAGCCTTCTTGTGTAGTATTCTTCACTGTATATACACACCAAATGGACCACATTTTGGATGCATCATACCTGTGCTGACAAAGAGCCAGATGGTAAGGGACATAGGACAGATCCTCTGACCTCCACTGCTGCATGTTGAGGATAACAAAGGGTGGAGGTCCATGGCAGAAAAGCCTTTGAGAGAACTCCCTTAGTCCATTGCACCTATTGGGAAGACATTTAGCTTGTTAGAATAAAATAAGAGACACAAAATGAACAACTGAGATTGAGACTCACCCTTGTTCTGTGCAGAGCAGGAGCTTGGGGCTGAAAAACTCATCCACAGCTGACTGAATCGGGTCTTTGTGAGGAAGTTCATGAGGAGGGCTGAAAAGGTAAACGATGTCAGACAATTATTTTTCATTCATTCAATTTTTATTTATACAGGCTGGCCTCATTCAGCCACAGGGAGGGACCTGTTCCACACATATAAAGTACAGTACATTATGACTAACAGTCTTTCACATTAAGGATTTGACCTGCTTTGAAGTAGCCCTAAGCTGTTGGGATTTAATCTAGGAGCATCCTACCTGATGTTGATGGTGGTTTTCCTAAAGATCTGGAAGCGGCCAGAACAGTCACAGTTGGTGCACAGGCTCTCCTGAGTCGTAGACATGAGGTTCTCCAGGTTCTCTGTGAAATTCTCATGCTCGTTCCCAAACAGGTCTATCTCCAGGGCTGCCCTGTGGATCTCAGAGCGGTACTGTCTCTTAGACATCCTGTTCCATATCCACAGCATCTTCACCGTGGTGTACTCACAGGAGTCCATCAGGTAGAGGAAATGCTCCACAAACTGCTTGCCCAGGAAGACAGCCAGCTCCCTGTGGAAACCCTGGTTGTCCCTCAGGATCACGTACAAGATCATAAGAAAGCCATCAATGGTGCATGTGTTTTTCAGCTGGACCTCCACGTACAGGGGGATGCATGAGATGGCCTTCCGTCCTGCCTTTATGGTGAAGACGCCCCCCCATGGAAGCACAGGCCTCCAGAAGGAGCGATCCTCTTCGTCATTGTTGTTTATGGAGGCACGGATTTCCTCAAACAGAGTCTTAGATCTGAAGAGACAAATGCATAATAAAAAACCGAGGTTTAGACATGGCAACTAATTGAGCCAACAGTGGGTTGGACTCGATCATCCAGGCTAGCACCGACGTAAACAGAGGCAAACACGTCATCTATTGGACAGTAGTTGGTCAAGAAACGACTCACTCGATAGATTAGCTTCTAAAATGAACTTACCTTTCGTTGTGGAGATTGTTCTCGGCGTATGAAAATCTGGAGGGGTCGTTCAAAACGCTACTGAATCGATTCTCCATAGCTCTCTGTGCTTCTTCATGACTTACGCGGCACTTTAAAGTTTAAAGCTCGACAAATAAGACGTGGTAAATCGTAATTTCACGCAATTTCTAACTAGAATAGAATAGTGGCGTTTTTATAAGATACAAACAATCTCGCTCGCACGTCTCAAGTTGGCCTACATAAACACAGCGAAGCATTTGTTTAAACCACGATGTGGTAAATACGCTACTGCCATCTGTTGGTTCTTTGCGGAAATTAGTTCCTTTAGTCCCTCCCATTCTAGGGGAGGTAAAAACTAAACCGAATGCTATTGGTCAAAGCACAGAAACACCTTGTATCTGATTGGCTGTAAGAATTGACACTTTACAAATTGCACCGCCCATCGTCAACGCTCATTGGCCATCCTGATACGTCATGCCGTAGAGGCGATTCCATCTCGGCGATTCTGCAAAATTCTACGCTCATTTTTCGGCGCAAGTGTCGTTTTCGTGAATAGATGCTGCGCTGCTTTTGGTAAGCGCTTTCGAAGAGTACTCTGCCACCACGCTCCTGTCCACTTGTGAGTGTGCACTGTGCAGTCCAAACGCCGAATTTCAGAGCGATAATGTCAGCTCAGCTCATAAGTGGGAAAGAGGTCTCAGCGTAAGTAAAATATTTGATTTAACCTGTTTAAGAATCCACATACTTTTAGTGTTTTCCGCAGCGTTACAAAACTTTTGGCTTACTCAGCAGCTACAGTTACCACGAGTCTCTGACTACAGTTACTGAGTTAGCATTGTTTGAGCTCTTTTTAGGTCTTTCAAATGAACTGGGTTTGCACATGCAGACAGCCTAAAATTGATTTAAAACTTGTTTTAAAGCTGGTTTGCCTGATGCACTCCTCAAGAAGAATGCAGTTTATTTTTTCTATTCTGTATAGTAGGTTATTGTAAATGCACTAAATTAGTTATGCCTTACTATAACTGAGATATTTGTAGCTTGACTAATCCATTAACTAAATCCACATTTTTGCAGCACTGTATAAAATGTGTGGAGGGGATGTGATTAGAACTTTGTCCCTTTGGTCCTCAAGTATAGAAGCTCAGCTGACATGCCATTGTTTAAACTCTTAACCTTCAGCAGTGTAAATAAAAGATCAATCTGCAAACTGTACAATCCATCAGTTGGTTATCCTGTATTTTCTCCTGCAGCAGCAGCAGCAGCTTGGAGGTTGCATGTGCCTGTCACAAGACAACATGCTGCTTTGATTGCTGTCCCTCACTGCACTCATTAAACAAATTAGAACACTGGAAAGTCCTCACAGATCTATTGCTGTGCTTAAGTAGAGACATCTTCAATTTCTGAACCTTAAAAAAGCTGCATGACAACAATTAGTCCAGAACGAGCCATTGCTGAGCTAAAGAGTCCTGGCTTCATTATGCATTTTCATCCAGCTCAGGTCTCATTATAGATGTTAAAAAGCAAATAAATATACAGGAATTTAGCAGGATTACGCTGTCTTAATTTATTTGTTCTGATCAATGCATATCACCCGCCGCCTTTCATGCAAGAGTTTTAAACAGAGATCATTTTGTGTGGAGAAATGATAGTTGTCTTTGTTTTGGGTAAACCGTGAAAATATCATGTGAGATTTCACACTCAGAGTATGTATTGTGAACGACTCGGCTACTACCATCTCCAGTTTTAGCTCAATTTCATTCAAACTGACTTGATTTGTTGCTGTTTTGGGGTTTGCTAAGATTGATTAGCGGTCGCAGCCACGTCGAATTGGATTGACTCCAGAAATTAATCAGCTGTAGATGATGAACCAATTATTACTTTCTGAAACTTTAATTGAAATTTCAACAAGTGGTTCATTAAGTATTTTACTCATAGATGGGCAAAGTTGACTCCAAATAGTTAATGCCAAAATTTAAAACAAGGATTTTGTGCAATCTGCTGCCACTGAGAATCAGTATTTGGATCAGTTCCAGTTACTGCTACACCAGTTTTTAGCGCAATAACTGTAGAAGTGACAGAGTTAAAACATTTTGTGTTTTTGAAGTTCAGTTGGCTGTTTCAGTCATCTTGAATTGGGTTGGCTCCAATACTTAATAATGTATAGTTGAACATCTAATTATTTCTTGAAAGTTTCATGAAAATCTGTTCAGTGGTTCAAGAGATATTTTGCTAACAGACAAACTCGCAGACATGACCACAAATGTGAACAAAACAAAAACCAGTCAGGGTTCGTTTTGTTTTAAACAAACACAATGGATTTTTATAATCGTTTGTGATCAACATAATCCAAAGTCCACAGAATTGAGTCTTTTGAGTCGCTCAGTTCACAACTAATCTTTCAGCTGGCTTATCATCCCAGCACAAAGCTTTGCAATGTGTCCTAGATTTCAGCTCATCAAACAAATAAAGATAAAAGGAAGACAGCCACCAAAGATAAGGCTGTTTCTTGAAGTGTTTCTCTGCTTGTTGCTCGTAGGACGAGAGGATTAGCGAACAGTTTGTAGAGAATGATTACTAGAGGTCTTTTTAATGCCCTGCACATTTCTGTTGCAATGCTGCACAAACAGCTCAGAGATTGAAACCACTTGTCTTGTTTTCTCAGGCAGGTGAGGGAGCGCCTGAAGAAGGATGTGGAGGAGATGAAACTCAAAGATCCAAACTTCAGACCTGGTCTGGTGGTTTTACAAGTAAGTTGACACTTTTTGGCACATTTCTGTGAGCATCGTCTCTGACAGTGGGCTAGTTCCTTCATATGGCTGATGTGTTGTACTTTTTCTTCTTGCAGGTAGGAGACCGTGAAGATTCAAGTCTGTACATCAGCATGAAGCTGAAAGCAGCAGCGGAGGTAATCCCGATTATTGACCGTTAACGGTAGAAAAGGAAAAAGCGGGTAAAGATAATGGATGGATGGATGCGCTGCTACTCTACAGTGTTTGAATTGTTTATATCTGTTGCAGATTGGGATAAATGCAACACACAAGAAGCTTCCAAAGACGGCAACGGAAGAAGAGGTGAGATTTGATGAAGATTATGGATTAACTGGATTAACTTTCTGATATTCAAAGACTACTTTTGTTGTACAAATAATTTTTTTATGTGTCCCTAACAAGAAAAAAGGGTGTGGTTTACTCAGTAAATGACATAATACAACTAAAGAAACATTTTCTGCAAAAATATAGTCTAAACCATTAAAGCTAAAAGAAGCAGAATGCTAGATAAAAGCACAAATTAGCAAAATGCTAACTAAAATCTAAGAATAGCAAAATGCTAGCTAAAGAGAGCAAAACACTAGTTTAAAGCAAAATGAAAGCAAAAGTCTAGCAAAAAGTGAAATGCTACCTAAAAGCTAAACGTCACATAAAGCTAATTAAAAGTAGCAAAAGGTTAGCTAAAATCTGAATGCAGCAACAATTTATCCAAAAGCTAAATTAGCAAACAGGTGGCTAAAAGTGGCAAAAGGATGCCTATAAGTTTAAAGTAGTAGAACAGTAGCTAAAAGTACGAGAATGGTTGCTAATCTCTTGCCTTTATGCTGCTGTATTCATACTCAACTGCTCTGTACAGACTCATGTTCGGGCTGCTGTTTAATACACCATATTATTTTACATTATTATGTTTAGCGTATATCTTGGATCTTTTAGCGTATTGTTAAGCGTCTGTTTAGTGTATATCTTAGATCCTTATTTACTGTTTCATTTTATACTTTATATGTTTTTCTTTTTTTGGATGTAACTGGGACCTTGAGTACACAATTTCATTCCACCTCATGTACCACATGTGATGCTAATGACAATAAAGAACCTTGACCCTTGAAAAGGTTAGCTAAAATCTATTTGTAGGAATAGCTAGCTAAGAGTTAAAGTAGCAAAAGAGTAACTAAAAAGAAAAGAAAAAAAAAAGAAAATATATAAAGGCTTCTATGTATTTATTATTTCCTAAGTAAGTTAAGTTAAATATTTTGAAAGAATAAAAACGATAAAAAGTTTATTTCATAGCATTCATCTCCTGAATGTGCCAAATGTTTTTATGACTAAAAAAAGAAACGATGTCTGCCGAAGTAGACTGCAAAAGTAGACGGAAACGGAAGAACTGTGGAGCAACGACGGCAATATTCACACGATAAAGTCCAGATGGTGAACGCTGTTTTCATGTTTGAAGGTTCTTCACAGTATCAGAGAAGTGAACGAGAACTCCTCCGTCCACGGCCTCATCGTGCAGCTGCCTTTAGACTCAATCCACAAGATCGACACAGAGAAGGTCACAAACGCCGTGGCGCCGGAGAAAGACGTAGATGGGTAAGACAAACTTAATCGTTGGTGGGTTAACTGAAGCTTTGCTGTTGGTACGTGAGAAGGAAATTAGCTTTCAGTTTTTTGTGTATCTAATTTTCATCGTTTCCAGACTGACCAGCATCAATGCAGGGAAGCTGTCTCGTGGGGATCTGGGCGATTGCTTCATCCCCTGCACGCCAAACGGCTGCATGGAGCTGATCAGACAGACAGGTGAAGCTCGCAGTGGAAGCTGTGACACCATACAGAGTGTGGGAGCGCAAGAGGAAATGGTCTTGATGCGTTGACCGCCTCTCCGCAGGTGTAACCATTGCAGGGAAGAGAGCGGTGGTGATCGGTCGCAGTAAGATTGTTGGCGCACCGATGCATGACCTGCTGCTGTGGAGCCATGCCACGGTGACCACCTGCCACTCTAAAACTGCAGATCTTGCTGGGGAGGTACGTAGTTCATCATAATCATCTTTTTCCATTTCATATTTTGCATTATTGCAGAGCTTTAAAGGTAAAATACTCTTTACCTTTTTTGTTTATTTGCAAACTATAATCTAATTCAGTTTTGACATTCTGATGGGACAGGAGCTCCTTCATATGAGGAATGAGGAAAACCCACTAAACTGAACAACAATCGCCCAATCTCTAAACTTTGTATTCTTGCTATGGTTTTAGAAAAATTGATACTCTGAAATTACCTTTCAGATCAAAGGCAATGTGTTCAACATATTGGTACTTCTTCCAGCTATTAACTATCAATAATGGTGTACCACAAGGCTCACTCTTAGGTCCCAACCTCTTCATAATCTGTATAAATAATGTAGGTCACATTATTTCTGAGGCATCCATACATTTCTATGATGACGACACAGTTGTTTATTGTCGAGCTAAAACAGTTGCTTGT